AACCCTTGTTGGCTTGCTTATAACATAGTAAGGTCACATCTTATTGCAAATGCATCAGCTTCGAAACCTTACTCGTAACTGATATTTAAAAATATAAGGCAATTGATATTGTGTACATTGAGAAGTTTTTTTTCCACCAGAGAATGTTAACTGAGATGTATAATTTTTTTCCCGTTACAATCAGTTAGGAAATATCGAAACTTTTATCATTCCCTTGTATCATTGGAACTCTAGGATGTGCTGCATAAAATTTAAATTCGTTGTTTTACTGCTATGATTTCATTATCTTAAAAATATATTACTCTATTTTATGTTCTTCACGTTTACTTGTCAGTTTGTTTTCTGAAAACTTTGTTATGTGAAAATGCGATCGGTAATTTGGCATTCAGCTAGTCCTGTGATGGTAGCTTATTGAAACCGTGGGATCTGCGGGATACCAAAGACAGAGTACATAATAGTTTCTTGAAATCAAAAGTAACTATTCACAAGCATCTAATCCGAATTCATGAAATAATTTATAAAAGCATCTACAACCTGTAAATCCTTTTTCAACGAGTTCGAAATATTTGTATTCGAAAACTTTATAGGTTTAGTACCAGCGACAGTAATGAAACTGATGTTTCAAAACGAAGAAATTCGATAATAAAAGAAAAAAAAGTTTTTTGTTGACCTTTGTCTGCTGCAGATATTATCAAAGGATTGTAAACAAATGAAAGTTTTGCCTTTCAGGGGAAAGAAAAAAAATCACGAATTTCATTTCTCAATTTGTCGAATTATACAATGTGACTTTATGGTATGTTTAAAGCAGATAAATCAAAAAAAGCTTCGAATAAACATATAACTGGCGTGTATAAAATAATTCCACGAGCTAAAAATATGAGCTGAAGTTCTAAGATGTGTATAGAGTAATGAGAGCTATATTTCAATTATAACCATCATTATACAGGGTGTTAAGAGCACCACTCTATATATTTTCAATGTAATACTTTCCTTCAAAAGAGTCTTGAAAATGCATAGGTACAACTGTTCATAATTTTAATGATTGACGCTTTCTCCATATAGGTTCAAAAAAACCTACGATCACTCTTTTAGCAGTTTTTACGTAACCCTCTGTAAATACGGCCATGCCAGAATAGTCTATACTGTGAGATTTCAGAAAATAGGGTTTTACTACTTGATTTCTATTGAAAAGTTTTCTTTTCTCGAAGAAATTATTAAGCGCCCTTAAATTAAAGCAATAACGATTTTATATGAAACGTTAAAAACAGCACATAACAAAATGAACTCAAATAATTTTGAAATGCATGAATCCTTGAGAGAGCTACGCATAAATTGTGATAGTTCTGAATATTATTTGGAATAATGGATAATTTTCATTTTCTTCCACGTTTGAAAGAAAATTTTCATTCTTCTCCTCCTAAGTCATTCTGAATGTGATTATCAAAAAAATTATAGGAATTTATACGTTTGACAATAACCGTCAATATTATATGTCTTGAGAATAACGTCAAACTAGATAATTTTGTCCTATTCTTTTTATAAAGAAGCATAACAGGAAGTGCGTAGAATGCGACTTTTTTGCTGACACTTCATTTCAAATTATTCATTATTGTCGGAATTCATTTTTAATTTGACACCTATTGTGTTGCACTTATAAAAGTAGTATGTGGACCATAACACGAAATTTCAGTTTGATAGGTAATGGGACTTACTAGTTATTTTTGTTAATGGGGAATGTACTACCAAGCGCTTGTGCTAATTTGTTTTGAAACCATGAACTGTTGAAGTTCAAACCGTATTAGTATAGTTATAGTTAAAAAATTCTTCAAATTTGAAGAAAATTCGCATAGAAATGAAAATAGATATACATCTTCGCCAAAATTTCAATCTTAATTTTTCACTTTTTTTATAACTTTCTTTGAGTTTTTTGAATTTCGAGTGGTGAAAAGGAAATCTGGGAAAATTCTGATAACTTTTTGGTATTACAAAATTCAAGATGAAAATTGAAAAGATAAATTTGGCAGAATGGTCAGGTGATATAGAAGTCCCATATAGGCTTTCACGGCTGGAGTGATGGTTGAAAAGAACAAAATTTTGGCTACTAGATTGTGGTCGAATGAAACCTGAAGTACCAAACGTTCCGTTTGATATTGGTTTAGGTTCCTTTCGATCATGATTTACCAGTCCGGATTTTGATCTCTTCAATAATGAGTATATTATTGTAAACTAACTACCTTTGGTCTTGATTGATACACTCCTCCTTCCCAATTTAGCTTTTTCTTCTTTCAACAGTCGACATTTTATCATTTTTAATGACTTGAAATTTACCGAGCAGAATCAGAATCAGAGCAGAATCAGAAAATTAATTAAATGTCTGAGCTACCAAGTGCTCCAGATAACGCAGGAGAAGATAGACCTTGATGAAAAAGTTCAGTTTCTTCACAAATAAAGACAGTGCTAATACATTTTTGTGAATATACATTGATGAATGATATTTATGTTTGATTCTAAAAGAAAGAAGAAATTCTTGTGTGAAACATAAGTTAAATAATTTAGAAATAGGTTCAGCTAGGACAATTTTCATTTCCTCAAACATGTTGCTATTCAGACAATAGATATACAGGGAATTTGAACTCCTCAAATATTTAATAGCTTCGATTATATCCTGCGAGGTTGATGGAAAACAGAAAAAAATGTTTCACACTTGGCAGAGATGGCCTCAGTAACCAAATCTGCATGAAATAATATAGTTCAAAAGTTGAAATTCATGTTCAACAGAGATAAAACTTTGAGTGATAACACATTTCATTGAGAATAACATACAGAAAAATGTGTTTTGATGATTTAACAGCTCGTAAAAAATTGCAATGAGATGAAAAAAGGAAGTAGGTATTCAGTTTTTTATTAATAACACAAAACATATCAATACTCAAGGAATACATGTAAAAGATTATAATGAAAAAGTCTGGAATCCCAGATCTCTACCTCCATTATTTATAATTTAAATTCATCGTCGTTTTATAGCATGGTCGCTGAAGACAATATATATGTTCAATATTGAAGGACCATAATTTAAATTCAACGTCGAAAATAGTGATCCGCACTCATGTTATAGTATGTCCGCTGAAGACAATATATATGTTCAATATTGAACACTTCAAAGAGTCCTGTTGAAAAATGTATCTTGATTTTTCAAAGAAGCTTTTTCCGTCCTCCGTTTTTATAAATGGCGTCACTCACCCAAGAGAATCATGTCATGAAATTTTATATTAATATTATTTTGCTAAGTTGAAAAATTTATTAAAAACTTATATCACTGCCGTTTTGTCAACTAACAACGGCAGTAATTTACATCAATTTATAATGAATTAATTACAAACAGTCCAGTAGGTATATGAAATAATTATTTTTTTTACTATTTCGCAGTCACGAAAATATAATTATTTTCAAAGAAAAAATTCTCCGTAAAAATGTTTTATTTTTTATAATTGTTTTTATAATTGTTGGGGAATCATTTTTTTTATATCGAAATTCACATTTTTCAACAAAATAACAGAAAAAAATAGTTTTTCATAATTCATTCATTCGTGTAGAAAATTAAAAAAATCCAAGCGTTATTTGATTTTTTTTTTTCAGAAACTGATTACTGAAATTTTATTTCCTTTCATTTTACAAAAATTCAAAAACTCAATAAAAAATGAATGAATCTTGAAAGTATTAGTTATTATGTTGTAAAATGAAAATTATGATGAATTATTTGAACAATAAAAACAGTTAAACACTTATAAACAATACAAAAATTCGTACACGATTTGTATGTGATTATTTTTTTATCATAAAAAAGTGGTAAGAAATATTCTTTATACACCACACTTTTCTGTTTATTTATAAATTATTGATCAACAAATGACGTAAAACGTTGTTACTTGCAAAAATGGTAACATTCAAACGGTAGATATTTAAATAGTTTTCAACTTTGAAACATACATTTTGCAAACTCTTATTACATCATGATCTCAAGTATAAGGAAGGTAACATGATGCAAAAATTTTTTCAATCTACTATTTGAACTTTTATGACGCCAGCTGTGGAAACGGTGGTCAAATCTATATGAGCTATCTGTTTTTGAAATCTGTTTTTAAAATCTGTTTTTCCGTTAATCAGCTGTCGCCCCCATACGAACGCCAACTCTCAGAAGTTGAGAAACTTGTGCGAGCCAAGGACTAACGAGAGACTAACGTGTGATTCCTAACACGTATATGATTGCTCATATATATTTAATAGAGATTTCCTGTATAGAGCTTTCATAGTTTTTAAGTTATTCTAACCTTTCTCTGTGAGAGTGACATCACTGATGATTTTTTTATCATGATATAATAGATCATCTACTGATGATATCAAATTAGTTGGTAAAACATGGGAGAAGAAAACAACATTTACATATTTTTAACACATATGAATAAAAAACGTTTTCATTAGAGTATTATTTGCCAGAGATATAGATTAACAAAAAAAATAAATTGTTACCAACATTCGAATTATTCTTTTCTATACAAATTACAGTTTGAAGTATTTTTCACAAAGTCGACATTTTTTTCATTGAAAGGTCAAAAATGTTAAGAATTGAATTAAAAATTAGGATTAAATAATGTATAAGGAACGATAATATCTACATCAGCAGATAAAAAAGTGATGTAAACTAAACGAGTTTGCGAGAAAGGTATAATAAAAAATGCCCACTGCTTTCTATAAATATCGAAATGATTTAATGAACAACGAATTCATTCAAAAAACAATCAATGCTTCGAAGCAGGAATCAAAACATTGAAGGCAACTTCATTTTTCTTTGCTCATTGCACCTGTAACGAGATTTTCTCGAACGGAGGTCTGCAGTCGCCGTTGAGTCTAGCCGAGTCATTTTGAAATAAAAATACACATGTTAGACACAGACTTCTCCCTCTCTTTCTCTCTCGTACAGTGCCGCCTAATAATATCCACTGTTAGTTTTGAATCTACTCCAAGACGATACAGAAGTGAAAGACATTTGGTAGACGAAAAAAAATACTAATTTCGACTTGTTTTCTAGCCAAATTCGTGGGTGAGACTGAAAAGTGAGACGAACTGCTTGAAGTCGGTGCCAATTTAAAAATTTGAAATTATTCAAATATGTGCCGGCACGGCAGAAATTTTTTCATCTGCAATATTCTTGCCCTTCTGTTGGCTGCCCCTTGTTTGTCAAAACCAATCAAACAATCTAACAGTGAAGTGGAAACATCCCTGGAAAAATTTCTCAACGTTTACTACAACTCTTTTGAGAATAAACAGAAAACTTCGAAAGTACCTGAGGAAGGTAGCTATTATGACGTCATGCAGGGAGATCAACCACCGGTGGAGAACACCATCAGCCAAATGGGGCCGCTTTCCAACAACAACTTTTCTAACGATACGATGTCTGAAGCTGAATATTATGCAGCTTTGAGAAACAGGTAAGATCAATTTTCATTTGAAGTGACCCTACGTGTATATTAAACATCGTCTGCAAATATTTGAATATTTTCAGTTATAGTGAAAAATAATCAATTATAATATTTGTAATATTTGAAACCAGAACTTGTGAAAAAAATTGAAATTTCGAGTTAAAAATCCACAGTTCATGTTTTTCTTGGTCAATGGTGATGAAAATATAATAGAGAGACAAATATCACTAAGGTCGAAACAACTTGAACATATTGTATATTTCACCATTTTATCCTGATACCTTGACAGATATCAAATAACTAATTCAATTTCTTTTATTTGAAGAGAGCGTCAAATTGAGCGAGAAGAAAGGTAATGTTTTTTTAATGTGTGTGTATTTTTGATGTGATTGTTTTTTGACTGGTGATCCATTCTCCTTTAAAAAATTGCGCGGAAATATTATTCATGTATTATTTGCAAGTTATAGTGTTATAAATGGAGATTTTTTTTATGAAAGTTATTCATGTTCTACCACAACGTGGATTTTACTAATCGAATATATGTTAAAATTCAGTTGTTCATCATATAAGAATTGAAACCTTAAATACAGACTAATTAACATTGTACGCATAACTCAGAAGTATTTATCTCATTTTTTTCGTTTCTCGTTAGTGAAACATTATTCCTGAGGTTTTGTTAAATTGAAATGGGTCACCACATACTGCTTGTGAATTATTTTCTATTCGTAGTGCATGAAATGTACAGTAAAATAGTCCCTTCCCCTCTTAACTTTTAATAAAGTATTCACCAGACACTTCTTGACCATAATGAAGACTGAAGAGTGTTTACAAATTCATTTCTTACATTATGGAATGTTTTCGGGTAATTTCGTTAGGAGCGTTAAGAGTACACGGTACATTTCCTGAACCTTCACAAAAAAGTCTTGAGGCATCATATAAGTTTGGATAATTATTGTCATGTAGTCACTTCCGAACCAGCCTGTCATAATAAAAGAGGCACCTTATGTTCCGGATACGTAACATCATTTTGAAAACTCATTTGGATTTGTCAATTTTTCAAACCAGGAGACTGGTGTGCAGACGTAGTGGGCCCACCAGATGACCTGATAAGACGCCCCTAGATGTTTGTTAGGAGTTACGTGACTTCTGACGTGCACTTCATTTCGGAACTCGTGGATAGAAAAACAGGTACTTGGAATAAATTCAGCCCAGAAACATTTCATAATGTAGGAAATAAATTTGCAAAAAGACTTCATTATTGTCAGGGAGTGAATCGTGAACATATCAAACATTTATTGGAATGAATTGAAGTGAGTTTCGAATAAAGTATTTCTTTTAAATATGATATTTATTATTTGTTTGCAGATTTTTTAAAGGAATATGAAACTCAGGAAAAGCTGATCCGATTTTCTAAAATAAAAAGTTTGAATAAAGAATTGAAATACCTATCAATCGAGTTACCACAGGACCCCTTTTTATCATTGAAAAAAAAGTTGGTAGTCCCTATTGACATTTTTACGAAGTTTTTCCGATCTTGATATCTCGCCTCGTTTAAAAGTTAAGAGGGGGGGACTAGTTAGGTCCGTACCTATATGTTTTTTATAGTATATTTCAAAATTGAAAAAAACCTTGCATAATGGTTAAATTGGAATATACATGCATATATTTCACTAATCGAGACTAGATGTTGGGATTCGAGTGTTGAAATAATCCGTCGTGTGAAACTATAAAAAAATGTTTTGTATAAAATTTTCACAATCCGTACCAAAATACATCATAGAAATATATACAAATGAAATAATTTGGCAATTTGTCAAGGTTCCTTTTATCACCGGGATTTATGAAAATAGAAATACAAATGCTTCCAAATTCAAGCCACTGATAAGCTAGTAACACTTTCGATCCATTTTTTTTTTGGAATTCGTTTCAAGTATAATTTACCTCCACGCAAAATATTGAAGATAATTACCATATAATGTTCCAGAATATGTATTTCGCGACTATATATAATACCAAATGCCTGTCGGAAAAATCTACTCTCCTGACTAATATCACGACGAACTGTGAATTATATCTGGCATACTTTTTACAAATGTCTTCACAGAGAAAATTTTTCTAGAAACTTTAATTCATCCAGCAGCATGACGTCGCTGAAATGAATTAAGTGATCACGTGAAAACCATTTTCGGATCATTACTTCTCGTTAGTGAATGACTGATCTAATCACGACAGAAGTGCTGACTTTACCAATGCTCCACCGTATATACGGAACCTTCGTCTGAAACAGGATCTATCTTAATCATAGTGAAGTGAACGACGTTAATTTGTTTGATCTTTATTTTTTCCGAGCGGAGATAAATACATGACAAATCATGAAAATGATGAAAATCATGAGAATCGGTTAAGCCGTTCTTCAGTTACAAATGGTGTAACTTACACAAGTTTTCTACTTTGTTTTTTACATTAGATTACAAAGATTATATTTAATCCAGGAAGTTAATGTTTAGTAACCTCCTATTTTTCTGAAATAACCATCAAGTTAGAGTAGGAATGAAATATGAAACAATATAGTTATGAAACACTTATTTTAGTGTTTTATGAATGGATGATATAATAATTATAATATACATACGACAGTAAATTACTGTAATGATCATGAATTTCAAAAGGTGGCCTGGTAGTTTTGACCGGTCAGTTCACTGAACTCTGTACGCATCTAATTTTAGCTGGTGTATTTTTATATCTATGATCTATTTTGAGTGCATTCTTTGTAAAAATGCTCTATATGATTTTTTGGTAAAACACTTATAAAAGTATCCTAGATTCTTGTCTGCTATAGCATTGCAACTGTTTAAACGTTCTCATTTCTTCAACAACTAAAAACTCTCCCCTGGTGATATTTACTGACCAAAATAACCAATACCTACGTTTCGAAAATATTCGAATATTTGTAAGTTTTCTTAAAATACTTTCAGTTGAAGGTGCCATTTGTTTTTGATGACACACATATCATGCACTTCTGCATGTCATCAATTTACTGTTTATGTTCATACAGAGTCCCCTTTTATAAACGGGGTATCGTCCACCGATATCTTTAATCGAATTCACGAAATGCTGACCAATTTTTACTACGTATCTGCCTGGTATTTATGGTATTCAATGCGTAGATATCTCATTAATTTATCGTAAACAATTTCATTCATAATATTATTCACACCAAATGTTTTCTTTCCATAGTTAAATAATTCCAAGAATATTTAGGTAATTAGGTAGTTCGTTGATCTTTAACCCATTGAATGATTTTTATTTGGTGTCAAGCGTCTCTTGATGGATATGAACGATTAATAGAAATTGACAAATAATTGATAGTTGAGACCGCTAAAAACAGTTCAAACTAGACTGAAATAGTTCAAAACTCATTCTTTGAAAATTATTGATTCAATGTGACATATAAAATTGGATAGATTTGTTGGAACTATACAGAATGTCCAAACGAAAGAGAGCTTTCATCAGAAACTGCATCAACACTTCAGAAAAACACAGGAACCTGTATATTTTCTATTACTCAAACGAGGACATTCTTTCCTTATTTGTGTTCGAATGTACCGCATTTTCCCTCCAAAACTAAGATAAGATTCATCTTAAATAGCTTTGGGAATCAAGCAGATGCTGTTTCAAAACCCAGTAGTCTGAAAATTAGGTCTATTAATTTTGAAAAACATTACATTTTAATACTACTACTCACTATTAGTTGATTGAAGGTTTGAACTGATGACCATCTGCGCCCATACAAGGATAATCATTATAATTTTTATATTTTTTCAGATTGCGGAAAGTAACAATTACCCAAAAAAAGGTCGATAACAAAGTATAATCTATTTTTTTATTCGAAACTTTCTCGCATATTCCGAAACTTTTCCACACTGAATCCACGGCACTCAACAAGTTTAATCTCTGTTTTCAAATTGTAAAGATGACACTAATCTCCGTTTCCTAATAGTAAAGATAATAAATGCAAAATGCTAATAGAGTGCTCAAACTGAGATACCACGGCTGATATTGGCCGGTTTAAAATACTTCACGAGATCCACAGGAAATTTGATGAGCATTCGGATTGTTTTATTATCTGTAGTGGCGTGCGTTTGGGAATTTAATCAAAAATACTTGTTAATGTAAAATTTTATTTTGAAAAATTTATATAAAAAAATAGGTACTCCTTACTTTTTTCTGGGTATATAACATCTCACAATCTGAAAACAGACAACGCTGAAATGAAATAATAATATTACTACTTTCTATTAGTTGATTGAATGTTTGAACTGATGACAACCTGCACTTTTACAAGGATAACCTGCTTGTCATTATCAAGAAAACAGAAATATGAACTGTAACTGAATTCTCAGAAAACATCCAGTATATGTAGACAGTTGCATACGACTTCTAGATATTTCATTCTTAAAGATATTCGCAATTTGATGCGAAAGTCTCTCTGTTGGAACATTGAAAACAAGCCCTGCAGTGTGTTGTGATGCAGTTATGCAAATAAAATATAGAAGGCAACGGTTGCTTGATTCAATGGTTTGAGGATTCTAGGGCAACCAAACGAAGAATTCTTCCTGATAGATAAACAAGATTACATTTCCGAAAGACGATCATTAATAACGACGCAATCTGAAGTAAGATTCACAGAACTTTCTCGGAAAATGAACTACAAGTCACTTGAGTTGAACTGCTTTGGACAAGGTGGGGTTTTCCTTGGGAGATAAGGCAACCAAACTTCCACAAAGAATGTTTTTCTCTAGAAAAGAATTAAACAATTCATTGGCTCCCATTGGCTCCCATTGCTCCCATCCTCGAGTGACAAACCTGCATTATAAATAATGATGGATCTGATTCATTGCTTTAAATTGAAAAATTAATCAATTCATTCCATATGCATCTCAAGCCATGTTGGAATATATGGCAATGAGACGGCAGTTGAAACAGCTAGAACTGTGGCTGATAATATTTCATTCTAATATCAAGATGAGTTTGAACAGTGAAGTACTCCGTAGTAGATGTTTACAGCTGATTCTCGGCCTCCCCCCACCACTATGACGTATTAATTGCTTTTTTTTTTGTTGTTTAGTAACATCAAGGCGATGTGACCTTGAAGTGTCTGGTGCATGAATCATTCAAAATTTTTTCATATGAGATTGTGTGTGTGTGACATTTGGTTGGTTTGTGTGTGTGTGAATGCACTGTATAGGGTTTCATCAAGTGCTTGTCCATGTACAAACATACGTCTGCATACTTCAAAGATCCACCAAGTAATGAATGTTCCATCGGTGTGAGCCCACCACTACATACTAC